AATTTTTCGCAGAATCTAAAAATAAAATAAAAAATAGAGTGTTCCATTTAAAAAAACATATGTTATATTCGCCACACTTTTTTGAAGCACCCTGTATACTCTGTAATAATTTTAAAATGTGTGTCTTAACCGTCCCTATAACTTTTATATTTAATATTTTTTTGTAAACCTCGAAACAAATGAGATAATGGACTTTACTCTATCGTTGAGTCACCCAAAATTTTGTAATTTCCAGACATGGTACACTCTCATTTTATACATCTATAAATGCTAACTTGGGAACTAATGTCAAATATTATTAAGTATCACAGTTTCAGCAAAATGGCATCGTTATATAAAACTGAACATTAAAGGAAGCTTTGCTGTTTCAGCTTTCCTTCCCGGTGCCATTTTTTCATCATTTGTTACTAGTGTTTTTTCGGGAAGTAATTTCCAAAAATGACCAGTTTCAGCTGGAGTCACTGGAAGTACAGTTAGTTTCAATTTCCTTCAGAATCTGATTTAAAGATTTTGCTTTAGCTTTTAATAGTTCAGGAGTCACTGGAAGTACAGTTAGTTTCAAGTACAGTACAGTACAGTCATTCGTACAGTTTCTTTTCCATCCTGGGATTTTCTCACGATTAAAAAGTTTTTCTTTTAATACTACCCGCATAACTTATCGTAAAACTTATATTCACTTTATTTTTTTTATTGCATTCACAGTAGACTTAGCGATTATTTTTTTTATTGCATTCACAGTAGACTTAGCGATGTCATTCATACTTTTATACGAAGTAAGTAACACTCATTTCATTTTTGTAAACTTTTTATCTTCATCTTCTATACCTATATCTAATATCTAACCATTACACGTAGCGATTTTTATCAAGATACCTTTTTTACGTAAAAAACATCGTAAATGTATATTTTTTTACTCAGTAGTTTTATACAGGTACGGACGAATAGTTATTACTCTTAAAACCAGTTAAAAATATGTAGGTGGCGCCCTCTACAACTAGGAGTAGAATGTAGAATGCTTAGGAGGGGAGTTAATCACCGCGACCTAACAGATATTGTGTGTTCCCTTTTCTTGAGTTATAACGAGTTATAACTCATCATACAGTCTCAGAGCTTTAACAAAAACCAGTATCTGAGACGGCTCCACAGAGGCCAGCTCAAGGCCAAAGTTCATGGCACAGGTCATCGTCTCGGCGCACTCAGTGAAAAAGTGTTCTGTTTCCCCATTTTTCCCACAAAATCTGCATTCGCCATTGTTTCTACAACTACTGGGGTGCCGTTGTTTCTGTAAACTACTGAGGTGTTCGTTGAAGAGACAGTGTCCTGTTTAGAAACCCCTTGACAATCCGAACATTGTTTTTACTTAAATCAAGGAACACCTTTGTATTTTTCTCGGTCGTAAGTTGTGGGGAACTTTTGAGGAACTTTTTCGAATGTCTTAGACCGTTGAAATTCCAAGTTACGGATGGAGTCTTCCAGATTCTTCAGTTCCGCTTTCAGTTGGTTCCCGTATGGAAAACAGAACAGTTCTGGTTCAGCTACTGGAGTGTTCGCTCCTTTTCTAGCTATATCATTTGCTTTCTCATTGCCTTCTATCCCTTGGTGAGCCCCAGAGTAGGAGGACTTTATTTTCTTTGCCTAATTTGTTGAGCTGCTCTAGGCATTCTTTGGCCAACTTCGAATTGATGGTTACTGAGTTGATCGAGTTTAGTGCTGCTTGACTATCGGATAGGATGGAAATTTCCTGTTTTCAATAGTTCCTATCAAAGATAAATTGAACGCATCTTTCGATAGCGTAAATTTCGGCCTGAAGGATACTAGTGTAGGTGCCCATTGGTTTGGAGTATTTAGTTTTCGGTCTAAATATTCCTATCCCTGTCCCTGCTTTGGTTTGGTATACCACTTTACGGTATACTCTTTTACATGCTGAGTAAGCGTTTCTTCCTTCCCAATCCTTTTTTTACTCAATACTACAGTGAGGTGTTTCTCAAATTTCTAAATTTTTGGTATGTCATCCACTGGGAGTTGGAGAACTGGAATTTTGTTTTTGAGGGTGTTTCCGACCTGAAAATTCTCCAAGAACTGGTTTCGTCAATGACCATTCTCATCATTGTCGCATTGACATAAGTACCGACGACAATATGCAGTGGTGTTAGGTCTAGAATAACCTCCATTGCTGCTGTTGGACATGTTCTCATGGCACCTGTGATGCAGATACATGCCAGTCTCTGTACTTTGCACGGGTTTTGCCTTGCTGTACATTGCTCTAGATGTGTATCCCAAGCAACTGCTCCATAGGTAATCATGGGTCTTAGTATCATGGTATACATCCAGCGCAAAATGTTACCACCTATTTCCCGCCAGTTTTCTGCATATCATGAGAGCCTTTGTGGCTTTGCTGGTAATGTTCTTAATATACTTGTTGCAGAGAAGTTTACTATCCAGGGTTATTGTCCGATATTTCACTTCCTGTGATGGCAGTATTTCCTTTCCATCGAGATGAATTCTTTTCAAGTTTTTCGAACTTCGCTTTCTGGTGAATGGCTACCGCAGTTTTATCTGCACCCCCATCTCTCCTCTTTGGATAACATCACACAGCGTGCCATCATGTTTCCCCCGTGCAATCATAACTATGTCATCTGCATACCCTATATAGTGTATTCCCGCTAGAGATAATTCTTCTAGTAGTTCATCCACTACCAAGCTCCACGGTAAGGGGGAGGTCACTCCATCTTGTGGAGTTCCTTGCGTTGTTTTAACAACTACAGTTTTGGTTAGGAGTTTAACTAGGAGTTATATTGATATCAAAATAAAGCTTTTCATGTCAAAAAATCCCTAGATACTAATTTTCATCCCAATACCGAATTTAGTTCAGGAATTATTAGGAAACTTTACTAAAAAAAAATAGATTGCTTCCTTAAATGTAAACAGGGGTATCAAAAATTGCTGGTCTATTTTAAATACTGGTTTTACATAAAAAACTTCGTTTTTTCAAATGGAACACTATGTATTTTTTTAAATAAGTCGAAGCAGATTTAAATACTCTTTCAAACTATATTAGGGTTTCCTATACCTATCTGCCTCAGATTTTGAACAAAGAGCGATTTTTCAATAAAATTGTAATCAAGTTGGCTGATGTCGCCATAGCAATTTTCTAGTGACACTTAGTCTATTTTCAAAATCTATATTAGTTTATGGAATTTATTTAAATTTATAACAGGTTATTTTGATTTAATTGACCTACAATAAGGTTAATAAGTAAGTATTTATAATTTTATCAAGAAAAATGAAGCAGTATCTGCTGGCGGAAGGAATGTTTATGTTACTAGTGATTTTATTTTGTCAGAACAATTGCTTGTTGGCCTGAAGGGTTTATGCTCAAAGATACCCAAATAGAAATTTTCTTGACAAGAATTTTTTTGAAATACTACTTTTCTTATTTAGCAGAGGTGATAGCGTGGTATGTAAAAAACCTATTAGGCAGATACCTGTAGTTGGAAGTGAAGAAAACGAATTTGCCTTAATTGGTTCTTTTATAGAAAATCCAATATATCTACAAGTTATCGTAATATAAATCAAAGAATTACTTCTATATTTTTCTTGATAAAATATTAAATACTTAATAAATTATTGTAGGTAAATTAAATAAAAGTAAACTGTTATAAATTTAAATAAAGTCAATCAAGTAATGTCGATTTTGAGAATAGCTACTAACTGTCATTGCAAATTACCATGGCAACACTAGCCATCTTGATTGCCATTTTATTGAGAAATCGCTATTTATTCAAAATCTGAGCCAGATAGATATAGGAAACCCTAATATAGCTTGAAAGAGCATTTAAATCTGCTTCGATTTATTTAAAATATACATAGTGTTGCATCTGAAATAACGAATTTTTTATGTAAAATATTCATTTAAAATAGACCAGCAATTTTTGATACCCCTGTATACATTTAAGGAAGCAATAAAAATTTTTAGTAAAGTTTATTTCTCTGGCTTGAAAGTCAGCACAAGAATTATTCTGAAAAGTAAAGTACAGGGTGTTGAAAAACGTTTTTATTATAGCATGCATATTTAAACACCTTTAAATATCTTAAAAACGAAAGGTTTAAACATATTAAACCTTCATAATAAATGACTTATTTTATGCCCAAGAATCCAAAAATAAAATAAAATACCGGGTATTCCATAAGAAAAAGTATAACACTTTGGTATAGATCTTAGTTCTGGCATATACCTTGTACATTTGAAAATAATTTTAAATTATGCATATTATCGTCCTACATATACCCATAAAATATTTTGCTTCTACATCTTTCCGTTTTTGTACAATCAACCGAGGCGAATGAGGTGCGTCACCCTGTATATATTATTTGGAAAAAACAGAGATAAAATGAAGCTTCTACACCCTGTATCTCCGAAACTAACCAATTTAGTACATACATTTATACGAACTTTTTTACTTATATTCATCTACAGAATATGCTGCCGAAGTTTCTGGAATACAGTTCGGATCAACCTGTATACGATTTATTTTAAAGCAGTAATATTATATTACTAAATAGTATAATTTTATTCGTGTGCATTTCTAAACATACCTAGCCACTTTTTAAGTGTAATAAATTACTTAGATATTACAGAATAAAATTTCCGGCTAATATTTTATGAAATATACTTTTAGCTATTACAAATGTCTACTATATATTTTATAATAAAAGAGCAATCAGTTTAACATTCCTATAAACTGCGGCACAATTATACTAACATTTTTCAACTAGGCAGGGGCGAATACAGAGGGGGGGCCTTGGGGCCCGGCCCCCCCTAAAATCTATAAAATGGGTTAAATATTAGCCTTTTGGGTGAAAAATGGCGCCCTAAAAAGCATATTCTAGATTACTTTTCATTTGCCCCCCCCCCCCTAAAATAAATTCCTGTATCCGCCCCTGCAACTAGGTTTTAAATAGTTTGACTTCTCCAAACCCATGGAACAGATCTTATACGTATTACTTAAAATTGTATTTAAATTAGTTTTTACTTAAAGGAATGCATCATCATAGTTGCATAAGAATAAGCAGCTTTCATAACCTAAAACAAAATAAAAAAAATATATGGAGTGTTTACCAAAGACATCGCAACAAATAGGATATTTTTGGGGGCACTGTAAATGTTTATATGAAATATCAAATCAGTTCAGCATGGAGAATAATATTAAAATTAAAATTCGTCTTAACATGTCATGTGAAGAATGTTAAAATCGTTTTTTAATTAAATATATTAAACAAAGCAAAGGCAAAAATTGTAAATAAACTAATTTCTAATGTAGTAATGTTCCTATTTTTCCTCTAAATGCGTTAGAAAAAATCATGCACAGAAAAAACAAATTTTACTATTTTATGAATAATTTTATTACCTATCTTACAAAAAGAAAATAATGTGTTAGGCCAATATTATTTTTGTAGGGACTATTGCAAGAAGTTTATCGATGTTTCGTCATTTAACTATCGCTTGTAATATTGGGACACCATATATATCTGTAAAATCAGTTCGTACAAATTCCAACTAGGAAGTATTTAGATTTGTGAGTAAGTGTTATATGTCAACTTAAATCATATTATGGTTTACCTTTGTATAATCTAGCAGACGCGGATATTGTCAGCAGGATCAGGAAGGCGCAGCGAGCCTTTGACCAACTAAAATCAGTTTGGACCTTCCGTCAACTCTCCATACAAACAAAATTAAGAATATTCAATTCCAACGTCATACCAGTTTTATTATATGGCTGCGAGACATGGAGAGTGACAAAAATATCCATCAACCGTCCACAGGTATTTATCAACCGCTGCTTGCAAAAAAATACTTAAAATCTTTTGGCTAGACACTATACGTAATACCGATCTGCTTCATCTTACAAACCACCAAGAAGTAGGCATTGAAATCCGCAAAAGAAAATGGGGTTGGATAGGTCACACTTTGCGGAAACCTGATAGTAATATAGCGAGATCAGCGTTGGAGTGGAATCCCCAAGGAAAAAGAAAGCAAGGACGACCTGCTCAAACATGGAGACGTTCCATACTGGATGAGCTTCAACAAGTAGGGTCAACATGGAAGGAAGCAAAAACAACTGCCAAAAACAGAACCCGATAGAGAGCTTTCACTGAAGCCCTTTGCTTCGCGTAGGAGATATAGGATCCTGTATATTGTATAATCTATATTTATCTACACATCTATGACGTAGCGCCACTAGAAGACCACTTTAACGTTATTCAATAATGGGTCAGCTTTAATTATTAATTCAAATACTTTCCAGATGGTATTTGTACAAAGTGATTTTACATTTCAGATAGATAAAAATGTTTTGAAAATCATAAATATTTAAATTCTACGACACATGCAAGTATTCCATTCTAAAAACAAATTCAATTTGTTGCGAACCTTTTGACACACCCTATATTTGCATATTACATTATTATAAATTTTGTTACAAAATATCTGAATATAATATACAGTATGTTCCCCGTTTTTACAAGAGGAAAAACTTTTTTATTATGAACATTTTGAAAAAAATACATTCTTCATAAAATTTAGTGCTTGTTCTAAAATGGTAAATCCAGTTTATACTTTCCCAAATTTCCATACCGTCTTAGAGAAAATATAAACAACATAAAAATATAGTTGAATTTTTTTTATGTCAATAATTAAAAAATGTTTCTTTTTGTAAAGACAATCCGGGGACATTCTGTAGAATATCAGTAGTATTTGCTTAACACAATTTGTTTTACCATGACAGCAGTTTGGGTAGTCATGGGTTTATAAGGTCCTATGGTCAGTACGGCTGGTTTCTGTGCTCTTAAAATAATCATCAATATCATCTGACGAATTTCCTTGTTGTATTCTTCATACCAATTACACTTAAATGCCATAGTAGCCACAGCGATGCTCTGAAAACTCAAATTGTAGCATACTACTAAAGAAATGTTGTATATTATACTTGTAGCTGTACTTCGTTAGCAGTAATAGCAAAAATGAAAATTTGAGTGACATGCATGGAGAAGAAAATGGCTGCAAATATAAACTTGGATTTATTTGAAACCTAGAAAAATATTTAGTACAATTTTTCAATAAAAATAAACATATAAACTTAATACGAGGTAATTTATCACCAACACATTTTTTGTTTATTATTGAGTATTTTGATTTTCGTTTTGGTTAGTTTCCTGTGTGCTATGTTTTGATAATATTTCCTTGCTAATAATTAGTTTTTTTTTTAGACTATTTTTAGACCTATTTTCTAAACTTATAGGGAATTTATTAAACAATTTTTATTTAAATAAGAAAAAATATATCAGAAAATAAAACTTATACAGGGTCCGGCAATTGTGCGTCGGGCATCTGTAGCTATATACCGGGTGCGTCTCAAAAGTAGCTCACCCCCTATAACTATTTTATTTTTTCATATAAAAAAAAACGAGATTTGGTATGTTAGTATATGACATAAATTAGGATCGACGTATTCAATTGTTTTTGGTCACTTCCTGTTTCACCGGAAATGACTACAACTTGTTAATTTAAATAGTACCCTAGGTATTTTTTTTTACTGAATTCGATAGAAAATAACAGTCTGAATAGAATGACATATCACATGTCAACTTTCCACATTTTCACGTATGGTTTATTTGAAATTGTAACATTTGGGTAGTCTTTTAATCAGCCAGGTTAAAGCTTGATCTTCTTTTATCCGTTATACGTTGATACGTTGATCCGACGGTGCTCTGATTGGTCATAGCGTTTTCGCGCCACTTTTCATCCGTAAATATTTTACTTCAGCCCGTCAACGGACCCGTTCATACGATAACGGACGTTTTGACACTTTTTTGACAAATTTAATCTAGCCTTAATAAAAATATAAGTAAAATAGCAAAATCGTTATGGAAACGAAAATATAAAATAACACCAATTTATATCCGATAAACGGAAGCATGAAAATGCAATAAATTTAAAAACTGCGTTATTTTCTAACCAATCAAAGTCCTTAAATTCTACCAATAATATTAATATCGTATCAACGTATCGTCGGACAACGGATGCATGAAAATCAAGCTTAAGACACGAAAAACATTAGACGATCAAATCTATTTTTTCAAGGCTCCTTGATTAAAAATTAGTGTTTTTAACACAGCCGTGGCACTCTAGATTGAAATTTAAAATACGATTATTTTTAAGCGTGAATGTCAACAGTTGACATATATGCAGAATGTCATTTTCTATCAAATAAAATAAAAAGATACCCAAGATGCCATTTGAAAAACAAAGTTGATAGGTTTATATACAGTTTGCTAAAAAAGTAAAAAAAAAATATAGATCTTTAAACTTGACGAAAAAATGTTTTTTGCATCTCAGTATATTATATCAACTTATGATTTACCGTTATTAACTGGAAACCCATAAACGCCACGTTAAACGAATTTATGAGAAATTCGAACAGAATAAGGTATTTGACTGCCCTGTTCAAATCTTTTACAAATCTAAAACAAAATACAATATATGTATGCAAAATACAAATATTATGTATGAAGGTATTTTATTCTGGACTCTTTACTTCAATGTTTTTTGGTGCTCTATAATCAGAAATCTCAATCTCATAAACGGATCGTCTTCAGGTTCTGAACTGAAGCTATTAAACGTTCTTAAATAAAATCCAATTAGCTCAAATTTAAACGAAACAAAGTTTATCACAGTGTAAAGAGTTGCTTGACAAGCCACATTTGTACAGAATCCAGCAACTACAACGAAAATATTTCCTGCGTAAATAATGTAAACATGCTCTTTACGGACTATATCAGGGAGATATATTTCCACAAACAAGGCGTTATTTTGATAGTCAAAGTTTTTCAATCCTGTTTTGAAAATATTAATCAATGGTGTTATCATTAGAGAGCTTACAGTACAATTTGTAACCAACATAATAGCAATATTGATCAACAGATTATATCTTTGAAATTGTTGATATATTTTCTGCACTTCTTTGTTTTTCATTAATGGCATTTCGTTTTCCATGATCCATAATTCTTCAAACATTTCTGGAATTTTATTCATTTTGCATACAAGCAATTTAACTATCATTGTGAAACCTGTGATACTAATCATAAGAGCCTGCATTTTCCTCTCCAAAGGATGAGGGTATCTAGATATTCTCACAGTTTCAGTAAGAAGAGATGCGCTTACAGCTACCACAGATATAGCGTATAAATTTCTATACACGGAATAAATTCTTCTTAACGAAGGTTCTATATATTTCTCAGGCAAAATTCCAGAATACGCCATAAACTTTTTGGTTAAAAAAACTGAACTCTTCATATTCATTTTAGTAGTATTAAATATGCAGCACTGGAATATCTTTCAAATAAGGCTTGTGACTGATGTTTCCAATAATACAATTATGTTTTGAAGTTATACTGAGAAGTACGCCGCTTAATTTGAATCAATAATAAATTACTTTAAGTTTTATGACTTATAGCGATAGATTTTATAGTTATAAGATGAACAATAAATTTTCTAGTTTATTGGGTGCAATATATTCCACAACCCATAATTATTAACAACTGTTTAAATAATTCAATTTTATATTAAAGTTTATGTAACCTCATATAAAAGGTCAATATACAGGGTGTTTCAAAAAGCACGTGCCATCTCTGGTGGGGAAATTCCTAATCTAAAAATATGATTTATTTTTAGATTAGGAATTAACTAATTTTCTTCCAAGACCTTTAGCAATTTGAATGAAATTTTGAGGGTCTATCTATCTATTGTATGGTTAACATCACAACAGAACATATGAAACCAGAGTCATCGTACAAATAAAAGTAAAAAGAAAAATATGCATTTAAATAATAATCGGATAGGGTTTAAAATGTACAAATAAATATACATATAACAAATTTCACAAACAAATATCTAAGTTAATGATGTATTGACTGCACTATCTGAGCTTCCAGGAAATTATCAAAGGGGCCGGAATAGGACCTTAATGGGCATGCTTCTATCAGCCGGATAGTTTGTCTGCCGGTGTTGCAGTCGCATTCTAGGGAGGCTATCTTTCCCCATTTAAACATAGAATCATCACACCTCCCATGATTTGTTCTTATTCTGTTCAATGCACACCATATTTTACGTGGCATGTCACAGCCTGGTAGGTTCTGGGTTATAGCCGGAATATTCTTGACGTGATCTGGCAAATCTGATTGCCATTCTCTGTTCCAACACGCCGTTAATTTAAAACCGTCTCGATGTAAGCTGATTGCTGTTGTCAATTTTGGATGTCTTGAACGAAGCCTGTTGCTATCCAGGTCGTGGACATCCAAATGTATCGGAAATTGAGGCATGTTTGTAATTTTACAGTATTCTCTAAAAAGTGCGTTCTGTCTGAGTATATGTGGTGGAGGAAAAAGTTACTTAGAATAGGAAGCCATTGGGTGAGAGTTGATTTTATTGTTTTTGATATGATACTCATTGTGTTGTCCAATTGGACGTCCATCTTTCCTGTGTGATAATTATTGAGCCACGCCGGGATACAGTACTCAGCAGTAGAATAAACTAAATCTAGTGCCGAGTAGCGTAAGGTACCCGGCGGAAGACCCCACGTGATGCAGCATATTTTATGGAGGATATTATTCCGCGTGTTGAGCTTAGCTACAGGTTGGGTGAGGTGCTTCATGGAGGATAGGATCTCTAGCGTAGTGCCTAAATATTTTGTGTTGTTGTTGTGGAAAAGCCAGTTACCATCAAACCTTATTTAAAGTTCCTGGTTTGCTAATTTATTATTAAGATGGAAACAACTAACTTCCGTCTGCACCGCGCTCGGTTGTAACCTCCACCTGCGGAAGTAATTTTCCAGGGAAGATAAATCATCCGCATATCCAAATTATCTAGCTGAAGTAACCGGCATAGTAGCGATATATAAATTAAATAGCAATGGAGCTAACACAGAACCTTGTGGCAATCCGTCATTTAGTTTCATCTTTTTGCTTTATCTCTCCCCCAGTTTTAACTAAAAGCATACGGTCGATTAGGTTGACATGTTAACATGGTTGACATCAGTCCATATCTCCAAACTGTATCGTACGCTGCGGTCAAGTCAATAAAAGCAACAGATGTTTTTTCTTGGCGTTGACATCCTGCTTCGATGTAAGTTGTTAATGACAGAACCTGATCTACGCAGCTTGTAGATTGCGCTCAGCAGTAGATTGTGCATATAGATTGTGCTCAGTAGTGCGATTGGGCGATAACTTTGCGGCTTGTCGCTAGGCATGCCAGACTTTAGGATGGCAATGATTGGACACATGTTTTTGAAACACTCTGTATATCATATCGTTTCTATTTAAGTTATTTTCTACTGATGTACCTGAAGATGATAAGTTTCAAAAAAGTATCTCTATACAGGCCTGGACAACACGATCTTAGCATATGCGGACGACCTAGCCCTCTTAATAACTACTTCCACCTACACGATCCTTGAAGAAAAAACTCAGACTGCTGCGCTAGCGATTAAGAATAAGTTGGAAAGCATGGGCGTTACACTGGCCCCAGGAAAAACTGAGCTGGTCGTTCTCATTGGATAACGCAGGGCAAAGGATCTAAGCATAAAGCTGGATAACTTAGTTATATAACCTCAAAATAAGGTTAAATACAATGATTTGTGACGTGTGAACGTGACAAAAATCAGATAACTCGACTGGCATCATCAAGCATCTGACGAGAATTACTCCCAATATCGCGCGGAAAAAAAAATTCTGGCTTCGGTAGTTAATTCGGCCATACTCTACGCATCGCCAATCTGGGACAGATCCATGCGCCTCAAACATTACGAAAACATGCTAGAACGGATAACTCAGAGTTGCATCGGTATACTGCACATGCCCAGCAGCAGTACTGTGTCTTTCTAAGATACCTCCGATCAGTCTATTGATCGAGGAAAGAAACCAAATATATCAAAACGGAAACTCCTTCCAGAAAGAGACCAGAAGTATTGCACTAGAGCAATGAGAGACACGATGGGAAGCATAT